TAACAACATTGTATGTGATTACAACTCCAGATCCAAACAACATTGTATGTGATTACAACTCCAGATCCTAACAACATTGTATGTGATTACAACTCCAGATCTTGACAACATTGTATGTGATTACAACTCCAGATCCAAACAACATTGTATGTGATTACAACTCCAGATCCAAACAACATTGTATGTGATCACAACTTCAGATCCTATCAACAATGTATGTGATAAAAACTTCAGATCCTAACAACATTGTATGCTATTAAAATTTACTACATATCCTAACAACACTATTGTGATAACAACTCCAGATCCTAACAACAATATATCTGATTACAACTAAAAACACTTAACAACATTATATGTGATTTCAGATTAAGATCCTAACAATGTATCATTCGAAAAATAATTAGATGCTTCAATGTTCATATCCTAACAACATTGTTATATTGATATACAAGATATATTGTTGTATTGGATTTCGAAACTTCAAAAGAATCCTTCTAAACAATGTTTTATTGCTGGCTTTTTGAGTTGCTCAACCAAGCCATTAACCAATGACAGTTACAGTCATATTGTCACACAGTATACTCAAACAGTGGAATAAATGGAATGTGGGTTTTGAAGAATTCGAACAAATAAATATTTCTTCAAGCGAATTGTTTTTGTTTTCATATGAAGCTGAATTTATTGATGAGCTTATCAGGACTGGTTACAAAAACCCAGCCAAGTCCTTCAATTTCACACTCAGATATATCTACGATGTGCGGTCTTTAAATGATAATAAATTCATTGGCCAGATCGATCATATAAACGAAACTGAACTCGAAATGAAAGATATAACTGGCTCTTCTACTTCAGCCACTTTCCTTGATCATTAGTTTACTTACAACATGACCAACAGGGACAGCTGACTACATATACTAAGTTGTATGATAAACCAGACAATTTTTTCTTTCCTATTGTAAACTTTCCCTTTCTCAATAGTAACATCCGAGCACCCCTACCAACAGTGTTTACATATCACAGTTGATTCGGTACTCAAGACCCTGTTCTAAACATCATGCCTTCCATGATAACTAATGCTAACAAATAAACTTTGTAACACATAGTTTCCAAAGATGCTGGATGAAGACAATGGACAAGTTTAAAGGTCACCATCATGATCTCATTGGGAAATATGCTCAATCTTGTGTGATGCCAAAGTCTACGTTTGTGATTATGCTCATTGGTGTGCTTTTTGTGCTGGTGTCCCTACCAAAATTCTCACTGTGAGGAGATGACATCACTTGTATTTGACCTAGATTTACATGGCAGTCGCCGTTGAATCAGAAGACGCTTACCCTTCCAGAACACCTGGTCTTATTCTCCCTATACTTTTCAATGGTCTCCATGTAAATATTTCCTTTGTTCATATTTGTCCTAGTTTTATAGACTCAGAGTTCGAGTTTTGGTTTTATTAACACATCAGTACCTCTTGTCATTTTTTTGAGTAATTTTACTGAATTGGTAGACTAATTTTACAAACAGTTAAGGTGAATTTGGCTTTGACCTTGGACCCTTGAAACACAGATGTAATAAAGTATTCAAAATTCACACGACATTTAATCAAAATATGTTCAAAATCCAAGTCATTTGAGCATCTACAGGAAATCAGGACAGGATGGGACCTGATGGGCTATATGCCCCTTACCCCCAAATAAATGGCATGGGCACAGTACACCTGTTAAATTCATTACTCAGGTAAAGGATATTATTTGATGCCAGTTAATAATTTTAACCACTGATCATGAATAAACTTCAGCACTGAGTTTATCTTTTAAGCATGAAACATTGCTACAGAAATGTCCAAGTTTTATTAAAAAAAACATTTAAGGTGGGGAAATCATAAGTAAGTAAAAAGAGGCCCAGACAGTGTACATTACTCACCCAGATAATTAAGCAATCACAGCCAAATTGTTATCATAAGAATAAATAGAACAATACAAAATTTATAAATTACATGTGTATTTACATCAAAAACATTTATGACAAGGATACTGCAGGCAACACATTATATTTCCATTTGCATGGCATTGTCACTATAGCCTCTTTGAAAGCTGTGTCGTTGATGGGACTTTAATTACCATGCATCACGAGACACAATTCTTAGCGTATTAATACAACACTGACCGGAACTACAATATCCAATATAAATAAACATGACGGCTGCTAAAATATCGCTGGGCATTGTGAGATTTGATAATGTCATTGTAAATTTATGTGCAAAATAAAAAATAAAATAAAACTAGAATTATGTCAGTGTGACATTACAGCCGCTCACCACTTTAAATTTAATTGCTTCAGTGACACGTTGAGCATAAAAATCTACTATAATAACTCAGATATGTGTTCTGTATTCTGCTAATTGAAAATCAGGTCATCTGATGATGTTGCGTT